TGAAACAGAAAGATCTATATTTTTGGAATATCTCTTTGGAAGCTGCACAGAGGACCGAGTCCCAAAACAGGCCCCTAATTCCCCTGGCATAGCCATGGCCTTGCTCTGGGGGGGTTCCCATGCGGAGGCACCCCAAGGAACCTCATCTCAGTCCCAAAACAGTTGACGGTATTTATTTTCCAGACTAAGGGGACCTAGAGAAAGACAATCATTCGTCCAGCCACATGTTATCCAAAGTCTGGTCATGTTAGAATCAAGGGAAATAAAGACGACACTGGGCAACTGGATGAAAAGAGACCACTCGTACTTTCTAGAGGCACAGATTCAAGGTCCTGGTGGGCAGAAACCACATTTTTCCTTATGTCATTTTATAGAGCATATACCATAGCACCTCCAACACAAACAGCTCAATAAATACTTGACTGACAGTCATATATTTGCCAATCAAGTCATAAACGAAATAGGACTACCTTTCCCTTACAGGAAGGACATGCTGCAAAAAGTTGTATATCTCTGTGATCTCGTGTACATGAGATGTATGCCCATGTGCCTCATGGGCATACAACTGGGCACTGTGTGTACAAGTGTTACTGTTCCAACCCGAGAAATTCAAAGTGGTGCCATAATGTGATCAAGGTCTCCCAGTAAGAATTGTCTGAGCTCTGACCACATCTCTTAAATTCAATTCCATACAGGCAGTACATAGCAGTCTGGCTCTAGAGACTGGTCAGCTTTCCCTTGACAGTCTACAAAACCTACTTCTAGGGATACCAAGTAACAAAACTGTTATCATCTCGGGTAAGTATCAAGGGTTTCATGTTTTGGGGTTTTATAAAGCACCAGGCAGGATTAAAGATGAGAATATAAGTCTAAATTGGGAGCCTGGGATCAGACAGAATTAGATGAACTTGATGCCATCTCTGGGGTCCTTATCCAGATTGCCATTGGACATTCTCCCAGATCTTAAGGGCACCCAATAAGGCAGAAGACCCTCTAATGGGTTGGAAAGTGCCCACAGCTAGTCCCAAATACAAAGCACAGAGCACAAGACAGACCCTGCATCCATCCGTGGTCTAGGGAAAGACTCAGGACTTAATTTAACCCACAATCAGGGGCAAACAAATCCTACCATAATAGCCTGCCACTAGACCAATATTACCAAGAAAAGAATCTTCAACTTTTCAGGGCCTCCAGATCTGAAAACATTGACAACTTTAACTAAGAGGGCCAGAGGAGGACAGGAAGAGTAGAGACAAACAGAGAACAGAGCCAAGAGTAGGTAAGACATGAATGGTGTAAACTGGAGGGCTTAGCCACATCCAGAAGAGGACAACAGAGAAACTCTAAGGTGAGTGGAAAACAGACATAAAAATAGCAGAGTCTCTCTGAAACTTAAGCCAATAACCAAGACTAGCGAAAGGGGGTTCTGTGGAAGGAAAAGGTGTGTTGAACCAGGCAGTTAGCCTTTGGACAGGTTTCCCCTTTTACTCTTACAAAGAAGCCTCTCAGCCTGAGCAGCCACATTATTTTAGTTTCTGGCTTACACACACCTTCTGTGAAGTTGGCCTCCATCACAAATAGCAGAACCACACCACTGCAATTTAGTATGGGTCTTCAGGACTGTTACTTCACCAGTTAATCCTACCCCTTCTAGTAGACTGGTGAGTTAAAAGACTGTGTAAACCAAATGTGGGCCACATTAGGAAAGAATAGAGCCCAACCCAGCTGGTTATGTTCGATGCAGTCAGAAGCAGGGGAAAAGGTCAGAAAGAAAGGGATAGAAAAAAGTCTGCTCCCCTACGAAAAGGATAGGTGGACAGATTTGGGGGTATGGAAGGTGGAGGATATTTCTCTGGCTTATGGCACAGCTAGCTGCTGGCACTGCTCCTTGCCCAAAGCCCTACAAGCTTTACTCAAGGAGAGTACCTATTTTAAGATTCAGAACTTGCCTGATTATATAAATTATACAACAAACCTCTGATGAAAACAAACAAACAAACAAAAACCAAAAAGGCATAATCTTCTCTCAATAATGCCAGGCTTGGGGCAACAGGGAAGGTATCAGCTTTCTCTGAGACATGTTTATTAGAAAGCTCACCTCTCCAAAGGTACAAAGACTCAAGACACTAAAGAAGAAAAAAACACCTTAGCACAGCATCAGAGTTGTGTGCTGACCTGGTCCCTTAAGAAGTTGAGCCCACCTAAACCCCCTGGCCTCTAGCCTTCCAGAAAGCCTAGAGCCCATGCCCAAAGCTCCCAACACATCCTGGGAAGTTCCTGCACAAAATTTAGACACTATTTCCATCTGCAAATAGGTCAGTCAGAAACTCTGGGTCAGTGTTCGGGTTTAAGCTTGGTAATGGTTGCCATAAACAGCTATTCCCTTGAGACTGCAAAGCCCCAGGACACTCTATGGAGGTCAGTGTAGCTAGAGCCAAACAGTTCAGCAAAGGCCACTTGACCTATTTAGTGGAAGGCCCACTGGCTCCAGTATGGGAGCCCCAGGTAGCTTCATGTCTATGGGATGAAAATGGCATCTCCACCCCCCTCCCACCTCCTCTCTCCATAAACATTTTTGAGGCACAGAAATTCCTTAAACAAGGGCCTTTTCTAGCAGATATCATTTCATTTCATAGTAAAAAAATAAGTTGCCAACCTCCATTTGAGAAGGTATTTATTGGCATCGGAGAAGAACAAAGAAAAAGAGCTGCCTCTTCCTACAGCAGCAGAATTTAGCACTAGACCACCTTCCTTCCCCTCCTCCACCTTGCTCCAGCCTCACTGTCATTCCCTCACCCAGACCTGGGTCTGCAGGCACAGGAGCATTCTGCAGATGGCTGGCAATCCTCAGCTTCCAGGCTTCTCCCTCCTCTCACTTCCTCCCAACCCCTCAGCCTTCCCCCACTGCTTTGCAACCAAAATGTCATTTACCCCTACAGGGATGCCTAAAACAAGAGGACCCCCTATGCCAGCCACTGGGCATCTAGCCTACTCCCAGGCTTCTAGTACAGTGCAGCAGCAGGGCACTGAGCCCTGAGCCAGCCCCTCCTTTGTCTGCTTTAAAGACCCTCGGAATGGGGAGTGAGAAGAGGGGGCCTGAATTATGCCGCCCCTCCCCCCCTTGCCTGAACAGTCATGGAGCTGGGGCTCTATCTCCTGGCAGAATTATTGAAGGTGCCCTGGAATCTAGGGCATCAACTTGATAGTGTTTTCAGGGACCTCACAACCCTTTCACTGCTCCCTTCTTTCATTTGTAGCCCACCTTTTCCCCTCAGCACCTTCCCGGTGTTTCTTTCTCAGAAGAAATAAGGAGTTGGGGTCTGTGCCCAAGGAAAGATGGAGATGGGGAGAAAAAAGGATGGGATGTATTAAAAAAAGGCACACTTGGAGAATAGAGGGGATGTGTTGTTAAAGAAAATGGTTTATGGGGAAATGTCTGAGAGAAGCCTGGTGTGGGAGGTATTATCTGAGGAAGCCTTCTATGCAGAAGGCATCATATGGTGTTTTTTGGGGGAAGGGGGAAGTATCACTAAAGGGCAGCTTGGGGGGGGGCGGCTCAAGGAAGGAAGACAGTTATCTACTCCTTGGTGGAAGCATCTGATAGAGGGAGGTGTCTTTGTGTTGGGGGCTGTTGTCAGGGAGCATCTTCAAGAGGATGGGGAAGGGGGGGGAGGCCTGGAAATCATTTTCAAGAAGGCGTCTGGAGACTCATTGGCAGGAAACACACTGTAAGGGAGTGGTGGTCCCTGGTTAGCTAGAATAATTCATTGTTTGTGTGAGACGGAATGCCCTGACCGTTTGCAGGAGGAGGGGGGCAGTTTTTAGGGGAAGCCTAATGGGTGAAGGTTTGAGGGTAACATCTTGGGAGGGCAGCTGTGGAAGATAGAAGGCATTGTTGGGGAGGCAAGAGAGAGGTTGGGGGATACTCTTAAAGGAATAAGTTTTTTCAGGGGGAGGTTTCATGGAAGCATTGTGGGGGGGGCATTGCCAGGAGAGGCTTCATGGGGGCATCATTTAAGGGTAGAGATCAGCTTGGAGGGGCTCTATGGGGGAGGCTTTCTTTGGAGGAGTATTGTCTGGGGAGGGGGTGGTTTGAGGGCATTGTGAAAGGGAGGCCTCCTGGGGGTACAATGAGGGGCAAAGTCTGAGAGAGGAAGTTTGGGGGGATAATTGCGAGAGCACTGTGTGGGGAAGGGGGTGGCCTGAGGGGTAAAATGGGGTGCTCTCTTGGGGGAGAGGGCAGACACAGCTCTCTAGGAGAAGGGTTGGTTTGGGGGCATTGTCAGAGAAGGTCTTTGGGAGTACAGGGCGCTGGGGGACACAATGGGGTGCTTGCCTCCGTAAGGGATCGGTTTGGGGGCACAATGAGACAGGCGCTGTCTGGGAAGGGCGGCAGTTTGGGGGAGGCCAATAGGGGGTGCTTTCTGGGGGAGATGGCAGTTAGGGGTTATGATGGGTAGGACTCTCTGGGGAGGGGGCAGTTGGGGAAAAAATGGGGGCGCTGCCGGGGTGTGGGGGGAGGTTGGGGGCACAGTAGGGGCGCTGCCTGGGAGAAGGGGCGGTTGGGGGCACAATGGGTAGGACTCTCTGGGGAGGGATCGGTTGGGGGCGTTGTCGGAGGGAGGCTCTTGGGCAGCCCAACGGAGAGGGCTGCCTGAGGGAGGGAGCGGTTGGGGGCACAGTAGGGGCGCTGCCTGGGGAGGGGGCGGTTGGGGGCACAATGGGTAGGACTCTCTGGGGAGGGGTCGGTTGGGGGCGTTGTCGGAGGGAGGCTCTTGGGCAGCCCAACGGAGGGGGCTGCCAGAGGCAGGGAGCGGTTGGGGGCACAATGGGGACGCTGCCTGGGGAGGGGGCGGTTTCGGAGGGACGCTCTTGGGGAGGGGCTGTCAGAGAGCCGCCTGGGCGGTACGTGGGTCGAGGCCGAGGCCCGGGCCGGTCCGGTCCGGGTCCGGGGGCGGGGGCCGGGCCGTGCCGGGCAGCGGCTGCCTCTGCAGCGGTACCTGACGAAGGACGATCCTCCGCTCGGGGCCCGGGCTCTCGAGCGGCCCAGCAGGCGCGGGTGAGACAGATCCATGGCGGCGGCGGGGGCCTCGGCAAGGGTCCGCAGGAAGCGCCGGCGGCTCGGAGGGGCGCTCAGGCCGGGGCCGGGGCCGGGGCTGGGGCTGGGGCGGGGGCCGGAGCCGGGTCCATCCTCGGGGCGGGGGAGGGGAGGAAGGCGGGGCCGGGCCGAGGAGGAGCCGCCCCCGAGGGCGGGGCTCCATTGTGGCCGCAGGGGGCGGGGCGAAGCGGGGCGCACCACTCTGATTGGAGCGAGGGGGGATGTCGGGAGAGGCGTCCACTCAGCGGGAGGAAGTGGCTTGGCCACGAGACTCTCACCACGAAAGAAGGAGAAATTCTAAGTATCCTTGAACTTGGGCGCGGCCTTGGGTGGAGATGTAGCCACGGCACACAGAAAGACAGTATCTGTCGTCACGAACCCCCCCCTTCATGTGGATACAAGCGCGCCCATGAGAACTGCTGCGGGCATAGCCACGCCTCTTCGATCCCTGCCCTCCCCCGCCCCCAGCCCTTCCTGGGAGGTTGGGTTGTGGTCTCCCCTCCCCCCACGCACACCCCCTTTCTGCCTTGGGCCAGTCGCCCACTCTCGGCTCTGCCTGGAGACAAGCCCCTGGGACGCCCCTCGCCATGCCACCAGGATTGGTGCAATCTCCTCCTCCCGCCCTCTGCACTCCTCCATTGGCTCGGTCTTGCTGCACTGATCAATCAGTCACCAATACTTGGACGAATCTGTGACAGCTTCAAAGTGGGTTTTCCCTTCACCAGGCCAGGTTCCAGTCCATCCTTCTGCCGCTGTGATTCTTGTCTTTGGCTTCCCGCAAATCCCCCGTACAGGATAGTCTAAGTCCTGGAAGACCCTCCTCTGTGGCTTTTCCAGGACGGCTGCTGAGGACTATGGAAAAAGAGATAGGCCTCTAATCTTTAGAGTGAATCCTTTATGGAGAATTTATGAGAGGACATGAACAGAACTGTACAGATTTGCAATATGGACTTCTTAAACCACTCATCTATGAATCCTTTGAACCATGGAAGTAACTGCTCCAGAGCCAACCACCTAATTCATTCATTTATGCATTCAATAAACATTTAAGTGCCCATTATGTGACAGAACTCCTGTCCTTTTCCCTCGTTCAAAGAGGACCAGGACATCAGGAAGATGACATGACTTGCAAGTGAATTGGATTTAAGTGAGGGAGGACTATGCAAAGTCACCAACTTCATTTGTTCCTCTGGAGCCATCTAGGTCCAGTGGCATGACATAGATTAAGACGACTGGAGATGGCCCAGCATGCAGTGGAGGACTTTGGCCTTTTCAAGCTAAGGTCTTTAACAGGTCTCAGGTGACTGAGGCAATGCCCATTCAGTGATTAAAGGACAGATAAGAACTGAGGTAACAAAAGATAAGACTAGTTTGCCTTTCTCAGAAGAATCATTCTGGGAGGGGAAGACCCTCAGAGTTTCTGGCCAAAACAGAAACAATTGCTTTTTACACTTACTCTGAGCCATCAGAGTCCAAACAATGACCAAGTGAGGTTTGGGCTAGGACCTGTTATTGGCCAGTCAGTGAGGGCCAGAGTAATTTGAGTTTAAAGACATAGTCAAGTAACTCCACTTGAATCCCAGTGAGCAAAGCCTGATTTACCAGAGCCATCTAATTCATTCATTTATGCATTCGATAAATATTTAAGTGCCCATTATGTGAGAGAACTCCTAGGCATTAGGGGAATCAGAGGGTCCCTGACCTCATGAAAATTAGTAGTCTAAGGGCAGCTAGGTGGCTCAGTGGATACAGCACCAGCCCTGAAATCAGGAGGACCTGAGTTCAAGTCCAGTCTCAGACCAAACACTTGACACTTACTAGCTGTGTGACCTTGGGCAAGTCACTTAACCCCAATTGCTTAAAAGCAAAAAAAGAAAAAGAAAGAAAGCAATTAGTAGTCTAGTCAGCTGACCATTCTGGGGGTCCAACAGACCTTCACTAAATGACTAGCCCATATGTCCTGGTTCCTTGCAAGCAAGTCCTCATTGGCAGTAAGGGCCATCATTGTCTTGATCTATATCTTGCCACTAGACCCAGATGGTTCAGGAGGAGAAAGTGAGGCTGGTGACTTTGCACAGCCCTCTCTCACTTAAATTCAATTCACTTGCATGTCATAGCATCACCTTCTTGAGGTCATGGTCCTCTTCAAGAAAGGACAAATAACAACCATCATTGGCAATATGCTACAGCCTCTTTAGGAGCAGGTAGCTGGCATGGTGGATGGTGTACCTGGCCTAGAGTCTGGAAGACTCATCTTCCTAAGTTCAAATCTGGCCTCAGACACTTCCTAGTTGTGTGACTTGGGCAAATCACTTAACCCTGTTTGCCACAGTGCCTCATCTGTAAAATGAGGTAGAGAAGGAAATGGCAAACCACTCCAGTATCCCTGCCAAGAAAACCCCAAATGGGTCATGAAGAGTCAGCCATGACTGCAACAGCTCAACAACATAGCCCATTTATACTAGATGTGTGTACATATATATATATATATATATATATATATACATATATATATACATACACATGTATACATGTATGCACATACATACACACGTTTGTGCATAAACACATATATATATTACAGCTATTTGAGTCATCCACAATTTTTATTTTGAAATCATAGTGTTCCATAATTTGAAGCCATATAGCATCACTGAGAGAATATTGGTGTTAAAAAGTCGGGTTCCTCTATCAGTTAGCAGTGTAGGGTCCTTGAAAATGCTGAATAACAGCTTCTGAAAACCTCATTTGCTGGTGATAAGACCAGGAGATGGATGGATCTATATCTCCCAGTACTCCCTACTCCTAACCCAATTCCCTCCCTTACTTTCATTGTTCCAATACAGGACCCAGAGCTGGGCCCAGGACACCAAAATCAACACACTGATCTCCTTTCCAAAACCTGTGAGTGGGGAAGGAAGATTTGGGATAGGTGAGGAGAAACACCAATATAAACGTGCTACGCTGTTACCTCTTGTGTCTTTGCTATATTTAGCTATGTAGCTATAAAAAAAAAAGTGGTACTCAAATGTAATTTAATCTACTTTCCTTCCCCTAAAATATGGGTCCAAATCATTCTCTACCTGTAGCGCTTGTCCAAGATACATGAACAAATGGACTTGTTCAATCAGTTGTCCATCCAATTCCGTGTTATAATCTTGGCAATAGACCTTAATCCACTTTGAGTGACTGTGCATCTCACTGAGGGCCTATAATGTCCCTTTCCTCCATGTCATCAGCAAATGGTTTATAAACAAGATCATTTGAAGACCCTCGCTATCCATAAATATCTCTCTCTACACAGGACTTTCTCCATGACGGGAAAGCACATATCTCTGTTGGATTTCTCACCTTATGATGCTCCTCAGCCAACTGATGAATAAAATTAACTTCTGGTTGTATCTGCCAGTAGATTCTGGTATGATTTTAACACATGTACAGAAGACAACAAGCCTAACTTTGCCTCCCCAACGTCTATCTGTTGCTCCTCATCTTTCCCTAGGTGCTGAGCAGGACAGGTCTATGTCCTCTTTTGAGTGACAGCTTTTCAACCCCTTGAAGGCAACAGTCATTTCCAGATACTTTTAAGCCTTTTCTTCTCCAGGCTAAACATCCCCAGTTCCTTGAACTTAACTTCATATAGCATGATCTTGAGACCCTTCATCACCACAGTTAGCCTCCATCTCCTTTAAAGCTGCATTTTGTTTAACCACGTCAGATGCTTTTTTGTCATCCACAAAAACAAACAAAACTAAATCCAATGTTGATTACACCTCTCAATTAGTGTAACTAAAGATAACTAACATGTCTACTGAAGAAAATGGCCTATGAAAGCCTGCCTGGTCTATTCCATGTATGTTTATTAAGGATACCTTCAATACTCTGCATAGACTAGCCTCATAAAGATTTTCTAGAAGTAAATGAGTAAGTATATGGACCAGTAGTTACTGAAATGTTGTTCTGAGTTGCCTTTCTTTTAAAGTAATTATAATCTGCATTTGGTTTTATTCTTTTTTAATCGAATTAAATCTTCCTCCAATTTGAGATAGCTTCAGAATTGATCCCTGAGGAGTTTAAAAATTATGTTTCCTCCAACATAGATTTTCTGTATGTATTTGGCCAGGTGCAGCCACTCTTTTCAACTTCATTTTCTTAAGTGACATTTCTACTTCTTCACAGAACAATCAAGGCAGAAGTTAGTCCCTATAGTTGTATAGTACTTTAAGATTTGTAAAAGATTTTAATCACAACAATTCTATAAAGTAGGTAGTACAGGTAGTAGTAGTAGTAGTAATAATAGCATTTATATAGTGCTTTCAGTTTTGCAAATTTTATTCTCACAACTCTTAAAGTAAGTACTACTATTATCCCTATTTTGCAGATGAGGAAACTGAGGCAGATAAGATTATGTGATTTGCCCAGGATAACACAGCTAGTAAGTGGCTGAGGCCAGATTTGAGCTCAGGTCTTCCTTACCCCACACCCAACAATCAAGTGTTATTTATTGACCTACTTTATTAGTTATTGATGGGGATACTGATACTCAGAGATGTAAAATGACTTGTTCAGACCAGACAACTAGTAAGTGGTAGAATCATGCCTGGGACCCAAGTCCACAGTCCTTTACACCACCTGTCATCCATTAATTATTCAGACAGTGCCCTAATCCAAAGAACAAACTCCAGTTTTCCCACAAGCTATTGATCTATCCTAGGAGGCCTTTCTATCAATTCATGTTCTTTTCTCCCTTTAAAAATCAGTTAAGGAATCAAAGAATCTCAGAGGTGGAAGGAGCCTTAAAGGTCATTGAGCTCATTCCATAACTGAACAGGAATCTACTCTCCAACACTCTGGATAAGTGGTCAGCCCTTGCTTGAAGACCTTCAATGAAGGGAAACCTTTCAAGGCAGGCCATTCCACTCTGGGATAACTCTAATTCGTTTGTTTTTTTAAGTTTTGTTTTACATTAAGCCTAAATTTGCATCTTTGCAACATTATTCTGAGAAGAGGTCCATTAGGCTTCCCCAGACTCCCAGAAGGGGAGTCTCATTTTTATTTATTCCTAATAACCCCTTATGTTTA